TTTGTGTGGTTCAGCTTACCAAAATAATCGAACGATCGCGGGAGTGCGCTCCACAATACATTCAAGTATGAAGACATTTTAATGCTACAGCAGAGAACGTCACACATTTCCTATAACAAAGCTAACGTTACAGTGCTCTTTAGGTCGAGTATTGCCCGCTGCTCCAGCAGATGTCTGTTATGAAGGTCCTTATGAGGGGTGCACAGATTTATCGTTACAGTCCTCAAGGCGGTGTTTTGACAAGCTTGCAGCTTCTTTATCTGCGTTGCATTGATACCCGGAATTCAAATCAGCGCACGTTAACTAACGACCTACTGGCGGATTGCCAACACTCACGGCAGTCGGTTGTATACAGAGACCATCAAGCTCTATAAATACTCTTCCGTGGAGGCCGAGTGCTTGCATTGACGGCGCGCAATATTCAACGTTAGCCCTGCCCAGTGAATTCACGCAAGACATCAATCATCTCTTTGCATGCCTGCTAAAACAAATTTTTCTAACAATCACTAATCCGAGCTCGTCTTAATAGCTCGTTCGATAGACCACCAGATAGATGACATTAACGATATAGACAAGCTTTTGACTGGTGCTATGAGGAGTTAGGGGAAGAGGCGACTAAACTCAAATAGTTCCCGCTACAGTCGGGTCTTTATGACGGAGCGATACGGATTTCGCCCAAGACTGTCAGTGCCGAAAATTTTTCGCCCAAAATCTTTTCGGGAGTACTTTTTCACTTGCAATAACAACAATATATATATGTAGGTCCTTTCACTTACTGGAAAAAGATCAAGGCGCAAAACCACAAATTGGAGCAGGAGCCTCGGCCGAAAATCGCTACAGCGGCTCAAAGCGCCAATTACAATATATATATATATATCTATATATATCTTGATCTTATTCCAACAAATGGAAAGACCTACAGTTTATACTAAGCCGCCTCCGAAAGGCTGATGGTTTTTATGAGGAGCTATATATCATGTTAGAAATAGACTCGGAGGGGTTGACATTCCGTGTCGAGGGATGTTAGTGAACCCGAGCCTTTTGAATGGCAGTACGCAATGCTAATCAGTCGGCTACCCCGACCGCCAACTACAACAATACTTTAAACAGAAACAATTACGATTTTTTAAACATGTGAGTGTTTATCTTACTGTTTATTTACCTATAAGAAGGCTTCGCGTTCTAGCCTTATCAGTTTTATCTGCTCTCTTTTCCATAAAAAAATGTCAAAAAACTGAAAATGAAACACGTGAATGATCGCGCAGAGAGAAATGATCATTCTGACGAGTTTAGTGAAAGTATTGTACTTAGGCATCTTATTTCAAAACTTCTATGTTCACTAAGTTGTCTTCTTGGCAACAGACTGAAGAACTGGTTGAGCAATAAATTTGTAATTGCTCAATTTAAAAGAAGAAAAAAAATATAAAAAATATATAAAAAAGGCAATGAGAAAAGTTTACATACAAAACCAGAAAGTATTTTTATTGCAACAACTAAGCAAAACGATGCATTCAGCATTAACACCGTTGACCTCATTATGTAAAATTGCGTTTATTTGTTGCAGTGTGCAATAAAGCAAGTCGATTGCTGGAAAGAGCAACTGCCAGCAATATAAAGTGCTAATTGATTCTGGAAAAGTTTAGTTTGGTTTTGTACCAAGAAAACGGAGCATTCTTGACTTTCACAACAGACAATGTAAATAAATATAATTAAAAGCGCTTTAAAGGGAAATGAGTATTTAAAAAGAAAGAGGCGCTTTATAAATTTATGCAATAATCGAAACATGACAACAACAAAAAAGTACGTAAAAGTATCGAATTTTCCTTAAAAGTAAATTAAATTTTTTTTTTTGCTGTAGAGAAAGAAAAATTTGATGAATGAAAGCAGAAATATCATAAACTATTCAGAGAAAGAGAGAAGAGAAACTTGTTATTGTGAGTAGCTATTCAAGGGCATTTGCCGTCATGGCGGTATAAATTCAATCCCTATTCTTGAGTCCACATTGCACACCCTTGAAACGGCAGTTCCCCGTGTGCAAGTTGCGGTAGCCAACCCGTGCGGAGCCTTGGGTCACGGCTAATAGAGTGGAAGCTTCGATGGTGCTACTTCGAAATTTTCGGCTTAAGGCTTCACTGAAGTCTAATTGTTGCGTCTGCTCAACAGAGGTGCGGCTGCGGGCGAGTTTCGGTAGTCTAAGTTACTGAGGTTATCTAACGGGTGGTCCGGGAAATGAGTGCGATGAATTGGTTTTAGGGGGCATGCAAAGAGGTGGGTTAAAGACGTGCGGAGACTAGTTACATGTAGGACATGGGTTAGATATGTCAGGTTCGAGTCTGGATAAGTAAAAGTTTAACCTGTTACAATATTTAGACGTGAGTTTCGTCAATATTACGCGAGACCCTCGATACAGTACGTGCTCTTCGCCTGCTATGTGTGTTAGTTTGATTCCGAGAAGGCCATCCGCATGGAGAGATTTCACGAAGGTGTCAACTAACTCCGCCTCTTACGGCGGGCATACTTTACTACGGGTAAATTTGGTTTCTGTGCATATTGTTGAATGCAGTTCTTTAAGTATATTTAGTATTCCCTTTCTGATGTGCCTGGGGGGAGGTATGGCTTGTAATAAATGTTTCTTGGAGTGCTTCTTCGGTAGCACAGAAAAGCATTATACTCCTTGACTCATTGCATAAATACTTCACTCTGAAAGTGATTATGCGACATCAGAAGGTTCTCTCTCTCTCTTAACTCTATCTCAATCGATCTCTAAGCCTCTCATATCTCTCTCTCTCTGTCTCATATTTTTCTCTCTAACTCACATTTTTCTCTCTCTCTCATATTTTTCTCTCTCTCTCTCATATTTCTCTCTCTCTCTTATATTTCTCTCCCATATCTCTCTCTATCTTATCACTATCTCAATCATATCTCTATCTGTCTCATATCTCTCTCTATCTTTCTGATATCTCTCTCTCTCGTTCATATCTCTCTCTCGTTCATATATCTCTCTCTCTCTCATTGCTTTGTCTCTCTCTCTCATATCTCTCTCTTTCTCTCATATATTCTCTCTCCCTCTCTCATGTCTCTCTCTCCCTCTCTCATATCTCTCTCTCTCACTCTCTCATATCTCAATCTCACTCAATTTCTCTCTCTCATATATCTACTTCTCTTTTTCAAATTTCTATCTCTCTTTTCCAAATCTCTATACCTCTTTTTCATATCTCTATGTCTCTTTCATATCTTTATCTGTCTCTCACATCTCTTTCTCTCTCTCATATCTCTGTCTCTCTCCCCCTCTCATATCTCTCTATCTTTCTCCCCCTCTCATATCTCTCTATCCCTCTATTTCTCTCAAATCTCTGATCTCTGTCTCTCTCAAATCTCTAAGCTCTATACTCTTTCTCATATCTCTAATCTCTATCTCTCCTTCTCATATCTCTAATCTTTATCTCTCTTTCTCATATCTCTAATCTCTATCTCTCTTTCTCATATCTCTAATCTTTATCTCTCTCTCCTTCTTATATCTCTCCCTATCTCTTATATATCTCTCTCTCTCTCTCTCTCTTATATTAATGCGCATCAAACTCCAATGGAATTAATAACTTCTCTCAAAAATAGATAAGCCCTTCCAAATGGGTCAAAAATCGCTATTAAAAGCTATTAATTAATGCCAATACTATTTAATGAAATAAATTCATCAACAGGCTGCAAAAATAATTTAATAACATCAAATGATTTCTAGTACTTAGATACAATAAGTGGTTTGAAGCAGCAAATTTGTATTTTCCACCATTCTATTAACTTTCTGCTCAGCATTATAATAAGATTATAAATTCATGTTTATTCTGTATTAAAACTATTATTTATTTAAAATTATTTGCTGTTATATACATGTTTATGCTCATACCTATATTTTAAGTTATTGCGTTCACTATTGAATTTTTCACTAAAACTTGTTTTTTGTTGTTTGAAATTTTTTTTTTGTTATGCACCTTTTGGGATCGCCATGTCGTTTTGCTTAGCTGCACAAAAGCCATAGAAATGCAATGGGTTGCTCAACATTTGATATTTTTACCATATTACTGAATTGAATATATACATACATATATCTTTTACATGTTAAAATAATTTTTGCATATTTTTAGCAAAAAAAAAAAAATTATATTAATAAAGCTAAAATAGAGATATTAATAAAACTGCAAATTTGGTTCATAAATAGTTTTGTTATTGTATTTTATTTTATAGCTTTCACATAACTGGCACATAAAACTGGTTTCTTTAAGATATGTTTGACAAAATTCCAATTTAAAAATGTATGTATGGATTCTGCATGATTCATCGCTTGGCTTCGTTTTATTTGAAAAATAAAATTGTTTGCAAAATAAATTATTCGAAAATACTGGTAATAAAAATTTTCTTTAAAAATGTATGCATTTCGGTTGAATATTAATATTTTTTTACAACTGCGTACACATTTATTAACGCTATTGTATTTGTTGTATATTTTTTGCATACAACAATGTTAGGTTCATTTGAATATTTTCTCCACACAACCGCAGAGTAAAAGAAACCAAAAAAAAAAAATAATAATAAATAAACAAATACTAAAAAAGTAATACACACATTTGTATGTAAATATGTACATATATTATATTTCACACATATTTACGTATTTAGATTCCCCCATAGGCATGACACGATCGCATCACCTTCAACGACTTCGTGCGAACGGCCGATCTTTCACTTGTTCACTTTGCTGTTGTTTCAAACTTCGTTTATACTTTTCAGCACAATTTTGTTTTACATGCATACATACATTAATATGCAGAGGTATGTGTATACATACATATATATGTATGTATATATTTTTTTTTTATCTTTCCAACTCCTTTTTAACACAGTTGGCTGTTTTCTGCACTCACATTTTTCCATGCATTTAATAAGCACTACACACACACATACCGCATACCTACATACATACATATATATGTACAAACGAGCTTTACCTGCATGCATTTACTTATGCCTTCTCTCCTATTTGTTGTCGTTGCTGTTGTTGGCAATTATTGCGGCTACTGCATTTTTTGCACTTTTTCTCATATACGCATAGGTATGTATGCATGTATGTATATACGCACTTATGTATGTATATAAACGAGAACGAACGAGATTTTGCATTAAAACCAATATTCTATATATTTATATTATTATTATTATTCTTCTTTTTTGACAACTTTGTTATAACCTTTTTTCCAACAACAAAAAAGCACAATCTACACTAACACACATATTTGTGTATATGTATGCACATATGTATATGCTATGTATTCAATTCATATGTATTTCATACATATCGATTTATTAATCTGCACTTATTTCGTTAGCTTATATTCGTCGCGTCAGGTTGCGTCCGCTCACTCAAACACCACGAAGAGCTCACTCAACCAGAGAACTTATAATAACGAGAAGGTGCAAATTCGTTGCAACATCGAACCTGCTTCGAACAATTTCTGAAAAACTTTGGGAAAGGGATTCACCACACCGGGAAAGGGATTCACCATGTTTTCTATAACAGCCACTGATAAAGTTAGCAGAGACATGTTCTGTTATGAATAATGAACAGAGTGTCACTTACAGGTGAATGTTATTGTTTTGTCATTTCTTTTTGTCTTCGCTTTTGACTTTATTGTCATATTAATTACAAACCAATATGTCAAATAAATAAAAATATGTCAATAATTGCGCCAAAATGCCAAAAAGTCCAAAACTTTCATGGTAACGGTCGTGCGTTTATAGTTTCGGTAGTGAAAATTGTGAAAACTTTTTAAATATTATTGAAAATGCCGAAAGTTCGTAAGTGTCGCGTTACGGGATGTTGCAGTACCAGCGAGGTACTGCGACTATTTAATTTTCCACAACAGAAAGATTTGGAGAAAAAGTGGAGGCAGAATCTCAATATTTTACCTACGGACCACCTGCCACCTTGCAACTCGTACGTATGCGAGAAGCATTTTACGGAGGAGGAGGTGGGATCGCGCTATTTAAAGCCGAATGCTGTGCCAACATTGTGCCTTGGTAAGAGTTTTGTTATTAACAATAAGTATACATATATTTTGTGGTACATACATGTACATATGTACGTAAATGGTTACGGGTTTGTGTGGCATGATGGTATATACATATGTATGTAGATATGTCTGTGTATGCATGCATAAGTTTTTGGCGCACTTATGCACGTATATGGATATGTATGTAGTAAGTATGTATATTCATTTGTTAAAACAGACCTTTTATTAATTGGGGTATGCGACATAGTATGTATATTATATGTATTAGAATATACAAAAATTTATAATTTATAGTTTTATTTATTTTATAAAAAGAAAAGAAAAAAAAATTGTCTTATTATTATAATTTATAGTTTTATTTATTTTATAAAAAGAAAAGAAAAAAAAATTGTCTTATTATTTACAAATCTTCTAATCTTCTAAAGTTGAACGAACTCTGCTCTCCTTCACTCATACGGCATTTACAATATGATCAGCACATATGGATGTTCGTGTGCAAGTATGTATATGCTTATGTGTATTCGTACACGTATGTATGTACATATGTCAATTGATTTGAACATAGGGATGTTTGTATACAAGCATATGTAGGTCACTGGATAAATTCATACGGATGTGCAAATGAATGTGCACATTAGGGATGTTAGCAAATGTTTTGAAGTAAGGTGTTAGGTGAAATTTAGTATTTTCTTTTTTGTAATGATATAGAATATGAATATAATAGATATAGAAGTTTAGTTAGGGCATATTAATGAATAGTTTGAATAAACAACTATTCATTTGATGCATTATAGGTGAAGAAAAATATCCTCAACATCGCTTTGAAAGGAAGATGCCCAAGAAAAGCTGCTGCGTGCCAACATGTACATCGGGGGATACAAGGAAGCTATTTGAGTTTCCCAAAACGGAAGTTGCCCGGAACGAATGGGCTATAGCTTGTAATTTGAAGGTTCCTTTGGAAAAAAATATTAAATTGTTTATATGTGATAGGCATTTTCATAAAAAACATATATCAACAAAACGATTGTTGAGTGCGGCGTTCCCTGTCTTAAATATGGGTGATGAGATAGATGATGGCAGTACAGTGTCTTCGCAGTGGGCTCTGCCTCCTGTGCAGAATACATATAGTGGACCATTGGCCGGAATGCCAAAGGAGAAGATGGAGGAAATTGCAGTGTGTCACTTCTCTTATGAAGACAGTGATGATGATCGCAAGGATAACATGGACCAGTATACAAAAATATGCGATCATGAACACTACGCTCAAGTGGCGCGGGCCTATCAAAGAAATGCCCTAAAGCAGGATGAAATCATAAGGGAGCTTAGGGCTGAAATAGCTTCCATGACAAATAAGTATAATACCTTGGAGAAAAGATCCATTAGTTTTAGCGCGGATGCAAGCAAACACGCGATCACATTTGCAAAAATGATTTTGAATACCACAAGATCATATACCGAAGAGGAAAAAATATTGGCTCAGAACGTAAGCTATATGTCTACAAAAGCCTACAATTTCATGAGGGATGATTTGTTGTTTGCCTTGCCTCATAAAAAAACACTGCTACGTTGGCGACCTATCCGTTATGTGGCCCCAGGAATTGACAAAAATGTTCTGGAGAACTTGGAGAAGATTGTCAAGGATATGACTGCACAGGAGCGTGTATGTCAAATCATTTTTGATGAAGTGGCAATCAAAAGAGATTTGACATACAACAAAACGCGGGATGTCATAGACGGCTTCGTGGATAACGGACAAGGTCACCGGGAAAACGTTGTTGGAAATAAAGCATGTTTTTTTATGTTGAAGGGCATCATCTCGAAATGGAAATATGTGCTTTCGTACGTTGTATGCAAAGAAGGGCTGAAAGGCAACCAATTGGCGGAACTTTTGGAAAAGTACGTTGATACCGTCGAGAAAATTGGTCTGTGCGTGAAGTCCTTGGTTTGCGATAGAGGCAGCGGAAACATGGTGTTGATGAGGATACTAGGAATAACGCCAGAAAAGCCATATTTCTATTTGAATAAAAAAAAAATATTTTTCCTCTTCGACTATGTACATATAATTAAATGTGTTAGAAATACACTGCTTGTAAGGGATTTAGAAACTGTGGATGGAACGGTCTCCTTTAAGGTGATTAGGAAATTATACGAAATTGACCAGGACAATGTCAATTTTAAAATTTGTCCGAAGCTGACCCGCGCCCATATCGATCCAGGTCCATTCGACAAATTGAGCGTGTCGAGAGCGACGCAGATATTCAGCAATTCGGTAATTCGAAAATCGTGTCTAATTAAAAAAATTTATTTGTTTTTACTTTGAATTAATACATTTTCCTTCTTTTTTTCATTTCAGATTTTTTCTTTATTAACAGCTATATTTTTGATTTAATAATAAATTGAAATATATTTCTGAATAAAATTAATAAATGAATCACCAAAGTGGTTGAAAAATCGTTTTGTTATTGAATTTGGAGTTTTAGTTCATTTCCATATGATAATCGTTTTGATGTAGAAGCAAAATTACACACATGCGCACATATATTCTTTTGCATATTTGTCTGTTTGTATAAAAGAAAAATATATGTCGTATATTTATACAAAATTGAATGATTTGCTTCTACCCTCAAACCACCATCAATTACCTAATAAGATAATTAAATTTCAAAGTAGTCTGTGGTACGATGGTTATACTGCTTGCACAGCGTTTTTAAGTATTTAAGTTCGAATCTCCGCAAGGGAGAAATGAGTTTTTAACTTTTTCTATAGAGAATTATTTTGCACATTTTTCCAACGATTGCCGAAATTGTAAAATGACGAAGCAGTATTGCGAAGTAGTGAAGAAGACGCTCGTACATTTGCCGTGATGTGCATGTGTGAATGTGGTTGTATTTCACTTCAGCTGAACTTGAAAATCTGATTTTTGTCAATTTTACCATCGTCGAGAAGAAATAACTTGTGGATGGCGGGTATAGGGGAAGAGAATAGGCAAGTTTTTGTGTATGTATAGATTTATCGTATATGTACACTTTGGTCGCTTTGAATGTATTTGCGTTCAACTCAGACCAACTAGAAATTCTGTTTTTGCAAATTTTGTCATCGTCGCGAGGAAACTGCTTGCTGATGAAGAGTAGAAGAAGGAAGGGCAAACACATTATTGAGATTGTATGCGTTTTACGTGTACATATTAAATTCTATGAATGTATGTGTTTTCACTTTGCCATGAGCTCAACAGCAAATTCCGATTTTTAGCAAAATTCGTCTGCGAAACTGTTTGTGCGTGAAGGGAACAAGGGAAGAGAGTTCAGAAAATGCTCTATATGGATTGGTTTTTTTGTATACGTACATATAAGCAACTTCTGAAGAAGCATTTTGTGAATGAAAGGCAAAATAATGAAAGGTTTGTATGTGATTTTTGGTTTTGTTGCTTTATGCTTCTTCGTTTTATGGTCATTGACCGACGCATTCGCTATCATGATTGAATATTTGCGTTTGAATGGGATTACAAGAATATGTGCATATGTACGTATGTATGTATGGGATATACAAATATTACAAAAAATATGGTTATAGTTTCATTAATATGACTGACTGAAATAACCTAATTTAAATGTGAAATGCATTGATTTATTCAAAATCTTATGATAACCGCGCATATGTATATATGTAAGTACATACATAAAATTAAGTTTCGCTCTTATGTTGAAAAAAATGTACATTATATGTCTACATATTTATTTATGTGTCTACTTATTTCATACATATAGACGTAAGTATATCATTGCCATGGCAATCAGTAAAGCGAATACAATATTGAAGTACACAAAAAATAATTTGCAAGAAAGAAGAAGTGAGAAGCGATTTCTATTCGCATATTAGAGTAAGTATGCAACTATGCATTCGGCAATTAACAAGTTTAGTGGCACAGATGGTAGCATGATGCCACGGTTTTCGATTTTGCCACTTTTGGCGCGGGTTCAAATCTCAATAAGAAGCAAAACAAAACTTTTTCCTTTTCAATTTACTTTTTTTAAATAT